TAGGCAGAGGCAGCCCGAGATGCTCGTCCAGGACCGCGTGCTCCCGGAGCACGCCGGGAGCACCAAGTCGCCCAGGTCCCCGCGCGCCGCGCCGGGCTCCGACCGGCGCCACCCGCGGCCCTTCGCCAAGAGCCTCGACTTCAGCAACTGGGCATCGGAGCACTCCTCCAAGCTCCTCCTCCTCCTCTTCGCCGTCGCCTCCGTCGCCGCCGTCTTCCTCCTCCGCGGCGCCGGCCCGGACGCCGCTGCGCTCCTCTGCCTCGACCGCTCCAGCTCCCGCTCCGCCTCCGGCCCCACCAAGCTCCCCTACCCGGACGTCGCCTGGTCCAAAATCCCGCCGCTCGCCATCGCCTCGGCCGTCCCCTTCGCCTCCTTCCGCGCCGAGAGGTGGATCGTCGTCTCCGTCTCCTCCCCGCCCACCGCCGCGCTCGCCGCGCTCACCCGCGTCAAGGGCTGGCAGCTCCTCGCCGTCGGCAACTCCCACACCCCCTCCGGCTGGGACCTCAAGGGCGCCATCTTCCTCTCCCTCGACCTGCAGGCGCAGCTCGGCTACCGCTCGGTTGACTTCCTGCCCTACGCCTCCCACGTCCGCAAGACGGCGGGCTACCTCTTCGCCATCCAGCACGGGGCCAAGCTGATCTTCGACGCCGATGACCGCGCCGAGATGCCGGGGAATGATCTGGGGAAGCATTTCGATGTTGATCTCGGATCTGGCATCGCCAACCACCCCGTGCTGCTCCAGTACAGCCACGCGGATCCCAACCGCACGGTGGTGAACCCCTATGTGCACTTCGGCCAGCGCTCGGTGTGGCCGCGGGGGCTGCCACTGGATAAGGTCGGGGAGGTGGCGCACGAGGCGTTCTACACTGAGATCTTCAGTGGCCGCCAGTTCATTCAGCAGGGCTTGTCTGACGGTTTGCCGGATGTGGATGCCGTGTTCTACTTCACTAGAAAGCCGCCAACAGCGCCATTCGACCTGAGGTTTGATCCGGAGGCCCCCAAGGTGGCGCTTCCACAGGGCATGATGGCGCCAGTGAACTCCTTCAATACATTGTTCCACGCACAGGCTTTCTGGGGCCTGATGATGCCTGTTTCAGTGAGTTCAATGGCGGCAGATGTCATCCGTGGGTACTGGGCTCAGCGGATCTTGTGGGAGATTGGTGGGTACGTGGCTTTCTATCCACCAACTATTTACCGGAAGGATCATGTGCAGGCCTACCCATTTGCAGAGGAGAAGGATCTGCATGTGAATGTTGGTAGACTGATCAAATTCTTGAATGAGTGGAGGTCAAACAAGCAGAGCCTGTTCGAGAAGATTCTTGATTTAAGCTACGCCATGGCTGAGGAGGGGTTCTGGATGGAGCAGGATGTGAGATTGACAGCTGCTTGGCTGCAGGATCTTCTGGCAGCAGGGTATCGGCAGCCTCGGCTCATGTCATTGGAGATTGACAGGCAACGGGCAACCATTGGGGAGGGTGACATGAAGGAGTTTGTGCCCAAGAAGCTGCCATCCGTGCACCTTGGGGTTGATGAAATTGGCACAGTGAACTATGAGATTGGAAATCTGATTAAGTGGAGAAAGAACTTTGGTAATGTTGTGCTGATCATGCATGTTAGTGGACCTGTAGATCGTGTGGCCTTGGAGTGGAGGCTGCTATATGGACGGATATTCAAGACCGTTATTATACTTGCCGAGCATAGCAATGCAGAGCTTGCTGTTGAACGCTGCGCTCTGTCACATGCATACAAGTGAGTGATTGTTACCCCTAATAACTCTTCTTTGACTTGCATTTATAGATCTTCTCCAAAACATGATCACCACTTGATATAAAAATCAAACTGCATAATGGTTAATATAAGAATTGAGCTGTATCTTCTGTCAGATCCAATGCCACCAGAAGTTCTGAACCATTTAATCTAAAACAGCTACTAACTATATTACCGTGTTGAACCTAGTGCCAATTAAATGAATAACTAGATGATGTTCCTATATTAATTTTTTTAGCTCAGGTTATTTGAGAATAAACACATTTTTGCTCAGTTAACTATGGTATGCTATTACACTCCCCTCAACCAAAGGGTTTGCATGATGGCACCAATTGTTTGCACTAGATATGCGCCTTAATTATCAGAATTATTGACAGCCATAGATGGTGCCACCCATAACATCTTATTTCCTTTTCCATTCTTGGCATGTGTTAGCTTACTTATACCTATGAGATGACTAAAGTTAGGTCTGGTTACTAAAGCTCAATGCAGCAGAAAAGAGATCATCTCCAATTTCTGTTTGCAAGTTCAACTACTGGGCATAAAAGATAACCTCACCGATGCGCTTTATATCATTGTGATGCTGTCATCATTATAACTAAATAGGGGATATGAAATTGACTTGACTTACCTTCTTGACACTCCTTTTAGTTCTATCTTGATATGTGTACCGTACCACCTTATGCGAATTCTGCTAATCATGTGAACAACATTTTGCATTTTGTCATCAGGTATCTTCCCAAGGTGTTTGCAAGATACGGTGGTGCTGATGGATTTCTCTTCCTCCAAGACCACATGATTCTTAACTACTGGAACCTTCTGCAAGCCGACAAGGAAAAACTCTGGATAACTGATAAGGTTTGTAGATCGTATCCAGTTCCTTCCATCCACATCCTTTTGTTTCTCCTCATGTATGTGCTGTCAATCAATGCACATTATACATTAGGATTCACATTACTTTCTCATGTTGCAGATTGCACATTCTTGGGTTACTATTCCACTGGAGAGCAATAAAGAGGAATGGTTTGTTAAGCAAGGTGCTATGGTTAAGCAGGTCGTTGGCAGTTCCCCTGTTCATTTCCAGTCCAAGTATAAAGAAAGCATGGGCGAAGATAAGATTGTGTTCTGTGGCAGCGAACTGTTTTATGTGCCCCGACAGTTTGTTGAGGACTTCGGTGATCTTGTGGGTCTCGTTGGCAGTTTGGATCTGCATCATAAGATTGCGGTCCCGATGTTCTTCTTGGCGATGGACTCGCCTCAAAATTTTGATTCCGAAGCTCTGGCCGGAACAGTTTTCAAGACCAACTTGGCAGCCAATGAGACTTTCTCAAGTATTTATACAGCTCAGTCACCTGCTGTTTTCCCAGTTAAAGTGATGAACGAGATTGATTTCATCAAGGTAATCCGGCTTATGTCCAAAGGAGACCCTCTTCTGATGGAGTTGGTATAAATATCATTCTTGTAGTTGAAATGCAAACATTATTCTTCCGGAGCGAGGCCAGAGTAGACAGCGATAGTTTTGAGTTTTCAGGGGTTTCTCTGTTGTAATTGCATTTATTCTGTAGCTGTTCATTTCAAAGGTGTTGTACATTGTGTTGTATCAATAGTGACAAGGTTACTGGGGTTCAGCTTGGTCCGGCTGTCCTGCTGAAGGAAAGAAAGGATAGCTAAGACTTCACTGAGAAGAGCCTCGACGTGGGCATCGGTTTTTGCAAGAGTTTTGGTGGTCGGTTATAGTACAGATTCACACTTGAGCAGTCTATTGTACCCTTCAACATTGGCAAATGAAAATCAGGCATACTCTCTGGCTTGTGTTTGGATGAACATGCTTTTCTGGGACAACAGGCCATAGAGAATATATTGTTTGTGTTTGTCTAGTACTACTACCATCTGGACTGAGACAGAGAATATCTGGATTGCAGAATTTTGTGGTCTTGGTGCTTGTTTTATTTGTGATAAGCTTTATTCTAACCTGAGCAATTATTTAGCAAATTTGTGCTACTGGTTCATTTTTTCTCGGAAAAGTTTAAAGGTAGTATTCACTTTTGCCTCTATTTATATTGTTTAGCAAAGGTTCTGACTTTAGTATTCACCTAAAAATACTACCAGATCCAACAAATTTAAACCATGAATGACAGAGATCCGTGATAAAACTTAAAGTTTTATCAAGGTTCTTTGAAATCGACGTCTCTAGCTTCACCTTTTGCAACTTGATATTCCAGCATACTCGGTTGATGAAATTAAAGACCAAACATATACACAAACTGGACTAGCACTGAAAGTTGTGCATAAGTGTTTGAGCCGTGTATGATAAGTCAACATAATTAAAGTTCTTCATTGTTTCGGTAAATAGGGAACTTGATGTCTCTTTGAATTCACCAGAGTTTGTGTGAAGCTTAAAATCATTACACAATTACACACTTGATGTGAAGCTCGTATTGAAGTAGACTAAACTTGATTGTAGTTCCTTTTACTTTTTAACTGTAAAGTTGATTGTAGTATTTGTTAGTTGTAATACGTAATGCTGCCTTGTGAATAAAGGAGTAGATAATAAGAAAAACACGTTATGATAAGTAAAGGGGTGCAAGACTATAAAAGACATTGGATGGTCGTAGGAAGGGATGTAGATATTGAAGTTGTCAGAGAATTCGATGAGTTGTGTGTCCATCCTTGATTTTTTTTGATGCAACATGCACACAAATGTTAAATCTTGTTGAGAAATCAGTACAAGGCACATAGAAAATGTAGGGTTTGATGACTAAATGTTTGCCCACTATAGGGTATCTTGGCTAGGTGAATAGATCAGAAGTGAAACATGCGACCGGATTTAGCCAGGTTCATGCCCTCTCGATGGAGGTAATAACCTACTCCTGCTCGTGTTGTATTGCGACGCGGTGTACAATGTACAAGGCACAATCGAGGGATTGATCTCAATGTAAGGTTTAGGTCCCTATCGACTAGCTCGGCCATGGCTTATATAGGTTACTAGCCCCCCTAGGGTTATATGGACCTAGTCGGCTATGTCGAGGTGAGTCCTCCATGTATTTGGCTTCCTTGGCTTGAACAACAAGGCTTCCAGAATCTTCCTTCTATAAGACCCATGGGTCGACATGATGGCCCAGGGTGGAAACCGACCTAGGGGTCTTCGAGACGGCCTACTTGGGCCAACCAACAGCAAGGTGATTGTGATAGTCTGGCTTAAAAGGGATGATAGACTATTCATGTCAATAAGGAATTCCTTCTTCTCGAGGAGCCCATTTGGAAAGAACTCCAAAGTTAAGCATGCTCAACTTGGAGTAATTTCAGAACGAGTGACCGACCGGAAAGTTACTCCCGGGTGTGCACGAGTGAGGAAAAATTGCGCAGGAAAGACTAGTATTGATCTGTGGGGTCAGTCTAGATCCCGCCAGGAGTAACGACCGCTGGCGGGTGAGTCCGGAGCATTACAAGTTGGTATCAGAGCCGACCCTCCCGGTTACACGGATGTTTGCGGACAGGTGTGTGGTCATGTTGTGCATGACGTTTGTGACCCGTCGTGGCACACAACATGCCACGTGTGTCGGACTGGAGGCACAGACGTATGTGCCAAGAGGGAACGTTCTTATGGCCCGACGAAGACGTCGGTTCCTTTGAGTGGGGGTGTATGTGATAACCTGGCTTAATAGGGATGATAGACTACTCATATCAATAAGGAAATTCTTCTTTTCTGGGAGCTCATTCGGAAAGGACTCCAAAGTTAAGTGTGATCAACTTGGAGTAATTTCAGGATGGGTGACCGATCGGGAAGTTACTCCTGGGTGCGCACAAGTGAGGACAAAGTGCACAGGAAAATGAAGTCATGTGTCCTGCCGCCGACCTGATATGGTCGGCCTGGTCCTCGAAGTCGGCCCATCTGTCGAGAGAGGACCATCCGGTCATGAATTGTTGATGAAGTAAGCCGGACTTAGCAGGAGCATGTTCCTGCCAAGCCGCCAATATTCCTGCGTAACACTTTCTGAATTTTAATCGATCCAGTCTTGGTTCCACCGGACCAAACCAAAGCTTCTCCGACTAGTCGAGCCGGACCACATGATCATGTTGACAGTTGGTCAAGGCGACGTCTGTCAGTGGGTTGAGGCCCCACCTATGCCATGTCTAATCAAGGCATGCAGATGCACGCCTCAATCCACACGCCTCTTAAGAGCGTCCCCTTGGTGACCAAATGACATCCGAGGAGCTCCGTACAAAAAATAACAAAATTAGTGCTTAAACTTTTGTGCACAGTTGAGTAGAATTTTTGTTTTGTTTGTCTCGAGGTCATAGGATGTTATTTGGCCACCAAATTTTGTAAGCGCCTGAAACATTTGGTCATAATCAAAGATATAATGTTTAATTTTTATTCTAATTTCTTTTATGTTCTTCAATGTTACTGTTCATTGTGCGTGCAATGCATATGGGTGTTTTTAAGAAAAAGTGAGGCTCTCACTGGCTCCATATATAATGAAACCACCAACCAGGTTCACATCATTTCAAACAAAGGTAAAAGCGAGAAAAGGTGATACAACTAGGTCCGGCTCAACAACAAAATGCCAAGTCTATCCAAGCTAGGCAAGTTCCCCAGCTAGTTGCTAGGGACATGAACTCAAATATCATTTTTATACAACCCAAGATGATTACATGAGCGACAATGCCTCACACACATTAGACATCTCAGTTCGGTGAGCTGAAGGGCCAGCTCAGATGATCATCAGCATGGTGCTTGCGACAAGATTTGGTTTCTTCTAAAGAAGGGCTTCAACATAACTCAACAGTTGGAATTATTGGGCCCAACCCATCAAATATTTCAGAATATTGCCACAAGATCTGGTTTATTCTTTGATACTTATGCGCATGTGGCCGGAAAGACCACCATTCGAGTATTACTCTCATTGGATGCCTCACACAATTTTTCCATTCATTAAAGACAACTTTCTTAAATAAGGAGTTGGAGGTGAAAATTTACAAGGAAAAATGTGTAAGTTGTTTAAATCTTTCTATGGCTTAAAACAAGCACCTAAGCAATGACACGAGGAGATTGAAAGAACTATGACATCTACACGCTTTGTTGCAAATGAAGCAGATAAGTGTGTGTACTATCGCCATGGTGGGGGCGAGTGAGTAATATTATGTCTTTATGTTGAAGACATACTTATATTTGGTACAAATCTCAAGGTTATTGAGGAAGTGGAAGATTTTCTAAATCATAACTTTGAGATGAAAGACCATGGAGTAACTAATGTTATCTTGAACATCAAGCTTTTGAGAGGTGATGATGGTGGGATCACTTTGTTGTAGTCTCACTATGTGGAGAAGGTTTTGAGTCACTTTGGATATTTTGATTGTAAACCTTCTCCAACACCTTATGATCCGAGTGTGTTGATTCAAAAGAATGAATGAGAAAGAAAGGATCAACTAAGACATTCCCAAATAATTGGCTCGCTTATGTATTTAGCTAGCGTTACGAGGCCTGACATCTTGTTTGCTATGATTAAACTAAGCCGGTTTGTTTCAAACCCAAAAGATGTTCATTGCATGCTATTGAGAGGATAATGCACTATCTAAAAGGTACAACGAGTTATGGACTTCACTATACTAGGAATCCAATAGTACTTGGTGGTGCTACTGTTTCCTAGAAGTTTTGCAAGAAGACCATCTTAACAAGGTCGACAAGCTATTGCATAACTGAGAGGAGAATATTTGTATTATAAGATCCTCTTTGTTATGATGCATTTCTCATCTAATCTGTATGGCAGGCTGATATTTATCTTAATGTGTTCTGGAAGGCTTGAGTAGGCATATATGTTGTCCTACATAACAACTTGAAAGAACACATCTATATGAGTTAGACTGTTAAATGTTGCAGTCTGTGAGAGTTGGGTGCTCTCTAATAAACTCATGAAGATGCCCCAGAGTATGACGTATATTCTGCTACCCGCGGTATTAGGACTTTTACATGAAACTTGTTTGCATAAAATTTGCAGTTCAAGGTATAGTCCACTGTTCAAGTTGTGAACGAGTGTAGCATGAAGTCCTAGATGCAAGTTCAAATTAACAGTCATAACTGAAACACCATTATATTAACAATGTTTTGGACCATAGGTAAATTTTATGTGCCTCTGGATCTAGTAGGGGCTGTTGGAATCAATGGACCTAGCACATTTAATATTTTAGAATATTGCCAATAATTCATAGTTAATCATGTAGGCCCATATGGACATTGGCCCATTCATGCATAACAAAGTGATGTGTATAGTTTGGTCCTACCCCGCTGGCGAAGGATGTGTGAGACCAACCTTTAAGGAGATTTGTTTCACATTACCACTAGGAGCTTGAGAAGAGAGCACATACACACGTGCTTCTCCATCACTGCCCGCCTCACACGCTGCCCTAATTTTGTCACACTAGAAAAAGAAGTTGAAACGTTTTGCCTCTTGAGAGGGAGACAAATCTGAACAATTGCAAGGATTGTTTCTCATTATCTCCCTAGTGGGTGTCTGTT